ACCAGTTATGTAAAATATGTGCTAAAGGCTTAAAAATAGGGCATTACTGAAGTAAATTAATTCATCGGCCTGAAAAATACCTATAACAATGGTTTTTTTCAATTACTTCCGCAGGCTGCAATGCAGTATATCGACAAAATTGAGCTTATACTCACTACAAAACCATTTAACAAAGAGCTACGTAATATAAAATTTTATAAATAATGTTGCAAATTGTTTTGGACACATATATATATATATATGTAGGTACTCTACATTAGCTTACGTTTAGATTAGTTGGGGGTTGATGTTGCTCGCTTCCGTAGGTTTACCCTTGAGACCCTACAAGTGACCCCTGGGTGGTGCTAAAGAGCAATAACTACTGGTGGTAGGCTTCGGCCGTGGCTAGTCACCACCCTCCCGACGCAGTCGAGTCGCCAAATGGTTTTTACCGTGTTCCGACTCGTGTTCGGGAGTTGCCATTTGGAGGTCGGGTCTGAACAGTTGCATTGCGTCTGACGGCGAGTTGTAGCTGCTTGTACTGCCACACTGAGCACTCGGTTCTGGAGGCTAGCGGGATCCGAAGCACGGTGCACCGCTGGCCGACCGTGGGAAGTTGGGGGCCCAAGTAGCGGGAAAGCCACCCGTGAAAGGCTGCCCCGCCACCCAACGAAAAATCCCGGAATGCTCCACCTTGCCGGTTGGCGACCGGAAGGGAGGACCAGGTGGCCATCTCCGGGGGGGTTCGGGCGTCCCCGCGGTCTCCAAGCCGATTGTAACCTCGTGTGGCAGTATGAGTCTGCTGCTTGGTTGAACACGACGCAGTGCCTCGTTCAACTGCCTTCCTCCTGCCTATTCACTTCTCCAAAACAGAATGAAAAACTTTAAAAATGGAAAAAAGTATACACAGCGGTTGCACGTCCTCCCACTAAAAGTGCACCTCACTAACATCCGAGGTCTGCACTCAAATCTCGATTCGGTCCACTACCACCTTGAAACCGACAAACCGCAGCTGCTGTTCCTCACAGAGACGCAGATCAGATGTCCGACTGACGCAGCGTACCTCAGCTACCCCGGGTATACTCTGGAGCACAGGTTCGTACCTCGTGCCGGAGTCTGTGTGTACGTTCGCGATGACATCTGTGTCAAGCGTCTCAAGAACCTTGAGGCACCGAGTTTTTCAATTTTATGGCTTCTGGTTGACACAGGAGTTACACAAATAGTGTACTGCTGTGTTTACCGATCGCACAGTGGAGATCAGGAGACGACCAAGCTGTTCCAATATCTAAGTGAGACGTCTGATGAGATTCAGCATAGGTACCCAGCGGCGCAACTAGTCATTCTGGGGGACTTTAATGCACACCATCAAGAATGGTTGTTCCCATACCAGAAGACCGATCACGCTGGGAGAGAGACGCGTAAACTTGCGTTAACGCTAAGCTTATCCCAGCTTGTCAGTGGCGCCACTAGGATACCAGATGTTGAATCCCATACGGCTAATTGCTTGGACCTTCTGCTGACAACTGATCCGGACCGATACTCTGTGGTTGTGGAGGCCCCACTGGGTACTTCCGACCATTGTCTGGTGAAAACTGTATCCGTATACTCCCCACCCGATCAGGGCCCTAGTGGTATGAGACGGGTGTGGCGATACAAGTTAGCAGATTGGGACGAAATGCGCCATTTCTTTGCGTCATATCCCTGGCAGGCGTGCTTTACTTCAGGAGACTCGTCGAGCTGTGCTGATGCTGTAGTCGAGGTCTTGCGTTTGGGTATGGAGTATTACATTCCATACTCTGATGTACCCAATGGACCCCAAGCTCGTCCATGGTTTAACGCTAATTGTAGTTGTGCTGAAGCACGTAAACAGTCCGCGTACCAAGCTTGGGCAGATGCTCGACTACGCAAAACTCCGAGTACTCAGAACATGAAGAAAGCTTTTAATAAGGCCGCCAAGAAGTGCAAAAGCATGTTACGTAGGGCCAAGTTCGACCATGTGCGCCGCATAGGAGCCAAGCTTGCCTCTTATCCAGCAGGCAGCAAATCCTTTTGGTCCCTGGCCAAAGCGGTCGAATCGAACTTTTGTCGCCCATCTTTGCCACCTCTGCTGAGGCCGGATGGCTCGCTGGCTCATACTGCGGAAGAGAAGGCGAATCTCTTTGCCTCACTCTTTGCAGAAAATTCGCGTCTAGATGCCGCAGGGACCCTACCACCTACTTTACCTCAGGCTGGCTGCACTATGGCGCCAGTTCGCATACGCCAAAAAGAGGTACTTAGAACTCTGCGAAATCTAGACGTGAATAAAGCTAGCGGGCCAGATGGAATTCCAGCAATAGTCCTTCGTAACTGTGCACCTGAGTTGTCTCCTGTTCTCACACGCCTGTACCGCCTCTCACTTGAGACTGGTGTAGTTCCCAGATCGTGGAAGCTTGCAAACGTGCAACCTGTACCAAAAAAGGGAAGCAGAGCTGACCCTGTCAACTATAGA